GGGCTCAGATTGTGGTTTTCTGAAACACAAAAATATGAATAATAACTAACTACACTCTATGAATGAACTGCATGCTAGGGAATAGCATAAACACTCCAATATTGGCTTGACATTCCTGTTTGGTTTTGCAATTTTCTCTGGATTCATTTTTGTAGAGCTACAACTCACCACCAGGTGGCACAGTGTCCTTGAACATCTCATAGAACTGGCTGAGGTACATCACCATGGAGAGCTTGTCAGGCTCCACCACAACAGACATCTCCTTCCCGGTCATGATGGGAGAAATCCCAAACTCTTTTTCGGCCACGTCAAAAGCCAACTGGTTGTTCTTCTCCACATCTTTCTCATCCAGCGAGTCAAAGTCACTACAGTTATTTTGAAACATGAGAAACATCTCCATAAAACATAATCATGTTATTTAGCAAGTTAGAAAACCATAGGGAAGTGTTAAGAGCTAATCGGGCTTCAGCTGCTCTAAGTAACAGAACCCAGTGTAAGAATAACTACAGCACGAGTTCCTGGCCTCTTGCAAAAGAGAAACTTACCAAGTCATACTATTCCTATAGTGTGCTGTACTCAACAGATGAGTAAGCCAAGTAAACAAATACTATGAAAGCTATGAATAACTTATCAAAAGTAATGAGGTGAGGACAAATTAACTACCACAGCTGAAGAAACATTTGAGTAATATTAGCAATAGCAATGACATTAAAGGTGCACTCAAGTTTTTGCTGACTGATATTCCACAGCTTAAAGGGACAGGTCATACAAAAATGCTGACACCATTTACTCACTTTAAGTTGTTCCAAACCTGTATGAATTTTTATCTTCTGTTGAACATAAAATAAGGTATTTTGAAGAATGTGAGTAACCAAACAGTTGTTAGTCCCCACTGACTTCCAGAGTAGGTAAAAAATACTATGGAAATCAATGAGTTATCAATGGTTCCAAACATTCTTCAAAATATAAGGGTGCATAAATGATCACAGAATTTTCTATTTTAGGTGAACTATGAATGCCTTTAATAACAAATCTGTTGAATCTTGGGCTCATCAGATCTTTTGTTTTGTGTTTAGTTTTCTGTCTCCCTTTACAGAATAAATGTTATAAATGTCACTTATGATCAATTTAATGTGTCCTTGCTAAATGAAAGTACACATTTCTTTAAAATAAATAAATAATATATATATTTCTGATATTATTATACTATATCTTATTAATATCTATATTACTATACGATTTATAAGATATACTATCTTTCCGACCCCAAACTTTTGAACCGTAGTGT